ATCTGGGGCTCGCACCCCCCGGGAGGGCTGCAGGGCTATGCCAGACTCCTCCTGCGGGGCGTGGGCCCCAGAACTGCTACAGGATGACAACAGGCTGCCACTGCCATCTGGGGCCAGCACCAGCACCCAAGTGTGTCCAGCACAGTCCACACTGAGTGCTGGGAAATCCCAGTGCTGACGCTGGCCCCAGCCGGCAGCAGCAGCCTGCTGTCATCCTGCACACAGATCCAGGGACCCATGCCCCCCAGGAAGAGCACAGCCCCACAGCCCTCCCAGAGGTGTGGGCCCCCAAATCTGCACCTGGGATGACAGCAGGCTGCCACTGGTAGCAAGTGATATGAGTTTTGCTTTGAACATCCCTGCAGTTGTCATTTGAATCAGGCAAGAAATGAGGAAGTTATAGGCATTTTGATGATTCCCTATTATAGCCTATGGGCGAAACGAAATGCATTGAAACAGCATCGACACAGCGAAACAGTTTCTATGAAACAAAATGGAACGGCACTTTGAAACAATAAAATGAAACACTCTCCTTTCAAAACGGAGAAATGGAAGTTGAAATGAAATGGTGCTGTTTCGCACAGCCCTAGTAATTATAAATAAGCTATGTTGGAATGGTAGGAGGCTTTGAGTATAGTTCCACAGGGGTCTGTCCCAAGCTGAGTGCTCTTCAGCATATTTATTAATGATCTGGATGCTGGAATAGACAGCTTCTTGAGGAAATTTACAGACAACAGGAAACTGGGAACGTGTTAGAGTACAGGAGTGCAATTCAGAAGGATCTTGACAGATTGGAAAGCTAGGCTGGACCTAGCAGGCTGAAGTTCAATGTGGACAAATGCAAGGTGCTACATCTCAGGAAAAATAAAAATACAAAATGGGTGACAACTGGCTGGATGGTAGCACTATAGAGAAGGATCTTGGAGTTTTGGTGGATCACAGAGTCAGTGAGTGCAGTGTGATGCAGCTACACAATAGACACACGTGGTTTGGGGCTGCATCAGTAGCATTAGGTACAAGACACAGGAAGTAATAGTGCCTCTTTAATTGGCACTGGTTAGGCCTCATCTAAACTACTGTTTGTAGTTTGGGTTCTGTATTTTAAAAAGGACATGGAGAAGTAAGAGGGTTGAGGTGGCCAACACGTGGTAAAGGACGAGGAAGGAAAGCTATAGAAGGAGAGGTTGAAGGAAACAGGAGTGTTCAACTGGTAGAAAAGATGCTTAAGAGGGGACATGATAGCAGTCTACAAATACCTGAAAGACTGTCATAAAGGAGAGGGAGAACATTTGCTGTTTTACTGCAGAGAGCAGGACACAAACCAATGGCTTGAACTTGCAGCAAAGTAGCTTTAGATTGCATATCAGGAAAAACTTCCTTACTGTTGGAACACTGAGGCAATTGAATAGACTGCCTAGAGAAGTTACAAGAAGGGGAAAAAGGAGGACCCAGGTAACTATAGGCCAGTTAGTCTCACCTTGGTCCTTGGGAAGACCTTTGAGAAAATTATCAAGGAGCATATCTGCAGTGGCCCAATTTGGGAGCTAATGCTCAAGGACATCCACTACAGGTTCATTGCGGGCAGATCCTGCCTGACTAACCTTGTTTCCTTTTACGACCAGGTCACAAAGTCCTTGGATGAGGGTGATGAGGTGGACGTTGTCTACCTGGACTTCAAGAAGGCCTTTGACACTGTTTCTCACCCCATGCTCATAAAAAAACTAGGCAACTGCAGCATTGATGCCTACACAGTCAGACGGGTGGCAAATTGGCTCGATGGTCACACCCAGAGAGTGGTGGTGGATGAGTTGTTTTTAACCTGGAGGGATGTGGGCAGTAGAGTTCCCCAGGGCTCAGTCTTTGGGCCTGTGCTATTCAACATCTTTATCAGTGACATGGAGGTGGGCGTGGAAAGCACGCTGTCGAAATTCGCTGATGACACAAAGATGTGGGGAGAAGTGGGCACTCTGGAGGGGAGGGAGAGAATCCAACTAGATCTAGACAGGTTACAGAGGTGGGTGGATGAGAATAGGATGGAATTCAACGCAGACAAGTGCAGGGTACTGCATCTAGGGAGAAGAAGCCTGCAACATACCTATAGGCTGGGGAACACCCTTCTCAACAACACAGTGACTGAAAGGGATCTTGCAGTTATTGTTAACTCCAGGATGGACATGAGCCGCCAATGCAAGGAAGTGGTCAGTAGGGTAACCGCACCTTGTTATGCATCTACAGATGCATCATAAGCCGGTCCAGGGAGGTGATCTTTCCCCCCCTGAGGAGCTGGTCAGGCCACTGTTGAAGTATTGAGTCCAGTTCCGGGCACCGCACTTCAAGAGGGATGTGGCTAACCTTAAGAGGGTCCAGAGGAGGGCCACTTGCATGGTCAAAGGGAAACAGGCCAGGCTCTATGAAGATAAATGAAAGGGCCTGAATCTATTCAGCCTTCACAAGAGAAGACTGAGAGGGGATCTGGTGGCCATCTATAAACTCAGCACGGGGGACTAACAGAAAATAGGTGAGGCTCTGTTCCCACCACCTGGGATAACAAGGAATAACGGCCACAAATTGATTGAGAGTAGGTTCAGGCTTGATATCAGGAAGCATTACTTTACAATTAGGGCTGCCAGGCTCTGGAATGGGCTCCCAAGGGAGGTGGTGCTCTCCCCTACCTTGGGGGTCTTCAAGAGGAGGTTGGATACATATCTGGCTTGGGTAATATGATCCCAGCACTCGTTCCTGCCCAGGGCAGGGGGTAGGACTTGATGATCTGTTCAGGTCCCTTCCAACCCTCGAAACTATGAACTAACTATGAGCTATGAACTATGTATCGGGGAGGAGAGGGAGTTGCCTTCCTCAGCAGCATGGGGTACTGGCTAAAGTTAAGGCTAGGGATTTTGACCAGGGTGCACCAGTGTTCCTCCTAGGATTAAAACCCAGAGGTCCCTGGCAACAGAAGTTGTTGTCCCTCCACTCAGAGTTAGACCTTTCATCTTATTTGGGGTCAGGAAGGAATTTTACTCCATGGTCAGGGTGGTACGAACTGTGGGGATTTTTGCTTTCCTTTATAATGGGAGGGTGTGGCCCTCTTGCTTGGATCTCTCAAGCATATTTTAGCAATGCTTGCAGCAGCAGGGTGCTGGCTACCACTGTCCCCCTGCTTTATCTATGGCAGGCTAGGGTGCTATTCCTTGTGGTTGCGACAGGGTTCAGTGCGTCTTAGTAATAGGTTAGACTAGGATTTGTGTGAGAGAGTTTGGATAGGAATGATCCTGCTTCAGGCAAGGGGTTGGACTAGACCTCCTGAGGTACCTTCCAGCCCTAATTTCTATGGTTCTATATTTATATAATAATGTCAGAAAGTGTAAATCCAAAACTATTGTTCTGATAAAATTTCTTTTTTTCCATATATGAGGTACAGGAAATTCCCACCTCATGATTAACTCAGTTTTGCTTTTAGGAAACTAATGGGGCTTTGTGGTATTTGGGACACTTGGACCTTGAACTGTGTGTTGAATTAAGAGTGTGTTTTGGGGCCAGCCCACTTGTTTGTAAAATCTTTAGCCAGGGCATATTTATTTCCATCAGATCATGGTAACATCGTACACACTGGACTGACGGACTACTTAAGTGGAGTTTACAATAGCAGGACTTGCAAATCATGTTACATTAACTTGTGTTCTGATCACTTCATGAAGGGCAACACCATGGCTCTAAATTTGGAGAACACACACCCTACTCTGTGCATTTCTGTGAACTTATTAAATACATGTTACAGTTGAACATTGCATATTTAACACAAAAAATAAACTAAAAAGTATTAAAAATATTCTATGTTAAAAGTTATATACTTATTAATTGAAGAGAAGAAAGGCTCTATCCCCACACAAAACTGGACAGATTTTAAGCCCCTCTAGGCTTATGCTTCACCCACTCTGACCCATTTTGCTTTTTTCAAGAGTTCCACAAGGACACCTCAGAAGTCACAGTGTGCAGTAAGTACTCACACACGAGTGCAATTTAACAAGATGAACCATGCACATGGCACTACTGTCCTAGGTAAGCCTCACTCAGGTTCTGGCAGTACTTTAATTTCCCAGTTGCTGAGCAAGTGTCTTACAGGCCTGTCTTACAAATACAATTTGTTTGATGTTGTACATCTTTACCTATATTTCTTCAACAAGGAAAAATATTTTGCTGGTAATTATCTGTTAACTGATTTGATCGTGAAACATCATTTGATGATTGTGACATTAAGCAGGAAATTTACCCATCAGAGATAGCTTCAGTTGTTGAGATTAAGTGGTTTATGACAGTGTTTGGAGTGACAGTAAACACAGCTGATTTAGACTATTATGTAAGGAAATCAGCCATAAGTGTTTTTATCCAGGTTTCACAGAACTAGGGAGAATAGAGGGCTTTCATGATGATGCCCACTGCTTTTTCCTTAGCAGTGGGATTGCAGTGATGAATCAAGATTGATAAACAGTCATGCAGTTTTTCCCTCAAATTCCACATTTCCTTTCCTGTACCAGTTTCATGGAATATACTAGAAAGCTCCAGAATTTGGAAACTAATAAGGGCATGCACATATTTAGGTATGAACATTCCTCTTTCTTACTCCATTAATTAAGATCAGTAGCAAGTAATGCATCAGTCTCGATTTTTTAAATTTTTTTTTATGCCTGAAAACTGTTTTGTTAATTGGTCACTTGCTTCTACAAAAGACAAGAATCTTGTTTCTATTAACACAGCAGCTTTGGGAGCCCTTCTTCCTTTCTCACTAATATAATATTGAGATTATAATATATTAATCAAAATATACATATGTAAATTAAAGAAAACTATTATTGTAGACAAAGAGAATTTATGCTAACAAAGACTTTGCAAGAAAGAATGGGCTGAGATCTATGAGAGATTTTCTCCATGCTATTTTAAATATAAATATCTACAAGTATGCAGTTCAACACATAAAATTTATCAATTTTTGTGTATTCTAGGAGGTTGTTAAAGCAGCAATAATGGAAGAGCAGAAACGAAGTGAAAAGGCTGTGGAAGAAGCTGTAAAAAGAACAAGAGAAGAATTAATGGAATATATCAAAGAGCAGAAACGGGTAAGTGTAACTTGTACATAGTAATGGCTGATGTTTTAAATTCCTGTAGTTAGAACTGGACATATTTAAGTTTATAAAGCAAGAAAATCTCATAAATATGAATTACTTGTTTATAATATGCATTATTTCTTGTTACAATAATTATAAAATTTGGGCAAAAAATGAAGGCAACTATAAACAATAGTTGACAGATGAATTCAATTTATTTATGTGGATACAGCGCATCTTTTTCTTTTTTTTTTTTTTTTTTTTTACATATAAACACATTATTCTGCAAGTTGTAAGCACAAATTTCCTAAATGTTCAATACTTTCTTAAATGTTCAATCTGGGAGTGGGCAATAGGCCTAATATTGAAGTGGATCCGGTGAGGGAACACCTTGAGGAACTGGACATTCACAAGTCCACAGGCCCAGACAGAATGCACCTGAGAGTCTTGAAAGAGCTGGCAGACAGCATTGCATCCCCTTTGTCAGAGATATTTGAAAAATCGTGGTGCTTGGGCAAGGTCTCGGATGACTGGAAAAGAGCCAATGTGGTCCCTGTCTACAAGAAAGGGAGGAGGGATGACCAGGGGAACTATAGACCAATCAGTCTTACGCTTGTCCCTGGAAAAATCCTCAAGAAAATTGTCAAGGGGATCCATCAACACCAGACTGACAGAAGGCAAGCTTCTGAATGCCAGCCAACGTGGCTTTGTGACTGGCAGGTCATGCCTGACCAACCTCATCGCCTTCTGTGAGCAGGTAACATGTGCCTTGGATAAGAGAGATGACATGGACGTCCTAAACCTGGACTTCAAGAAGGCCTTTCACCTAGTTCTCCATGATGTCCTCATGGTTAGGCTGGGGAACTGTGGCCTAGATCATCATACAGTCCAATGGCTAGGCAACTGGCTATGGGGTCAAACCCAAAGAGTACTAGTTGAAGGGAGCAAATCAGTGTGGTGCAGGGTGACCAGCAGAGTCCCTCAGGGCTTGGTACTTGGGCCAGTACTCTTTAGCATCTTCATTAATGATCTGGATTTGGGAGTCAGATGTGAACTCACCAAGTTCACAGACAATACCAAATAATGAGGGAGGGTGGTCACACCTCAAGACAGGCTGAGGATACAGGCCAACTTGGACACACTCTCAAGGTGGGCCGACCAAAGCCTGATGGCCTTCAATGGAGAGAAGTATAAGGTGCTGCACCTCAGTAGGAAGAACCCCGAGCATACTTACAGGCTCGGCAGTGCTACACTCGCTAGCATCACAACCAAAAGGGACTTGGGGGTCTTGAGTGACCACAAGATGAATATGAGCCACCAATGTGATGATGTGACTGGCAAAGCTAACCAAACTCTGGCATGCATCCATCAATGCATCTCAAGCAAAACCAAGGAAGTCATCCTTCCGCTTTACTCAGCCCTGTGAGACCACAGCTGGAGTATTGCGTCCAGTATTGGGCCCCCCACTTCAGGAAGGCTGTGAAGAAGCTTGAGAAAGTCCAGAGGAGAGCCAGTTATATGATCCAAGGCCTGGAGGGAAGGCCATACGAGAAGAGTGTCAGGGACTTGGGACTCTTCAGTCTGGAGAAGAGAAGGCTTGGGAGGACTTGGTGGCAGCCTACAATTACATAAGAAGGGTACATCAGGACCTGGGAGAACACCTGTTCACCAGAGCTCCCCAAGGGATAACAAGATCTAATGGCCATAAACTCCAGGAAGGCCAATTTAGACTGGATATAAGAAAAAAGTTGTTTCTGGTGTCCAGGGTCTGGAACAAACTCCCCCCAGAGGTGGTGCAAGCACCTATTCTGGACTCCTTCAAAAAACAGATGGATATATTTCTTGCTGGGGTCACTTGATCCCAGCTGACTTCCTGCCTATGGCAGGGCAGGGCTGGACCTGATGATCTCTTGAGGTCCCTTCCAGCCCCTAATGTCTATGAAACCTATGAAATCTAATCAACTCCCTCTGAACAAATTAATAAATGACATTTATCTTCCCCTTGTTATACGTCATTCTGACAACATATTTTGTTCTTCAGAAAGGTGACACACTAAGACTAAATAGTTAAAGGCCTGATCCTATTCCTGTTGAAGCCAGTACGAGTTTTGCTTTTAAATTTAGTGCAAGCAAGATTAGGACCCCTGTGGACAGATAGAGGTCACTGTGGCCACTTACACATTTCACTTAGACATGATTAACCAGTTAATGACATCTTAAATTGTAACCCAGCCACATGTTAAAGCAGTTAGTGGAGTCATAAAACAAGGAAAAAGCCACAACGTTACTGCACAAAAAGTGTGTTATAACTTTATGGCTGGTTCTTATCATACAATTAATTGAACGTGTAGCCAGGGCCACCCCTGCACCTAGGAGCCCAGATCAGCTAACTGGGCTCTCAGACATGGGAGTTTTTGTTACAGGGCTGGGAGCCCCATCAGCTGTGGAGGCACATAGTGTGTCCCTGTGGCTAGGAGATCAGATCAGCTGATGGGGCTCCCAGCCCAGGGAGTGCATGGTGCGTTCCCATGGCTGGGAGCCTGGATCAGCTGATGGGGCTCCCAGCCCAGGGATCTTGGTACTTGCTGGTGCAGGGAGATCCCAGGGTCTTGAACCTGCGCTCCCCCTGCACCAGCAATAAGACTTGTTTGGATCTGATGCTTGATCCCACAATCATGCCTTGTGTGAATTGTGCATCAGATCCCATTGCGCCTTTACCTACACACCTGGCTAGGACCTCTGTGTTACATACTCAGTTAATGAACTCATGCTCACTATGTGGGGACATAGACTGAAATGTGATTTTAAATGCTGTTAATCCTGTACAATTCCAGCTTAGAGTTTTAAACAAAACCTGTTACACGAGAGAGGGGAGAAGGGTTGATTTACTTTCGGAGAAGGGATACATTTACATTCAGACATCTCTACTGGGGTTCCATTTTGGAAAGATGGTTTTGAGTTGTGGGCATGGCTCCATAATAGCCTACAAAAAGCAGCCTAAGGGTTATCCAGGAACAGTGCCCTCAGACCATATGTCTTTCTACTCTGTGAAGTTTCATTTAGGGATTTTACTAGATGTCTGTACCTAGGGACCTGGCCTAGTCCGAGTAATTTTAAAGTAGAGGAACAAAAACTTCACTCCTGAAACTAACAAGGGGAATATTAATTTCTTCAAGTGAAGCACAAGTTGAGGTCATGTGTTTGACTTCTGACTTTCTTGGCTGGCACCAGCTGGGTATAGTTTAGGGAAGTGGTTCTGATCCAGGGTGCAACAGCATCTCACAGTGTTGCAAGAGCTTTTCAAAGATGGCATGGCACAAGCACCACTACCACTGCTCCCAGGTACAACTTCCCCATGTGTCTTGTTCAAAGCCAGACTGGTAGAGGCTATTGAAGGAGCTCTGTATTCTGCTCCCAGAAACAGAAGCACATAGGACAGTTCCACCTGCTCTGTGTGACTGTGTTTCTGGGAAGAGCATGCAGTGTCGGACTAGGAAGGGCTGTGACAAGATCAGATCTGTTATAGTTTTAACAAGTAACCCTGATGTGGGCAGGAGCATGTGCTCCAGCCACGTTTCTTCCCAGTCTGGCTGTGCATGAGAAACATGGGGCAGTTCCATCTAGCTGTGTCTGCAGTCATGTTAGCACTCTGGCTGAGAACCACTGGGGTAAACTGAGGCAGCACAACAGTAGTTCTCAAGTGGGGTCCTATCAGATTTAAAAAGTTATGCCTCTAAAAAGATTGAGGATCCTTGGTTTAGGAAACGAGAGAGATTCATTTAGTTTCAAGAGTTCAAGGGGATCCTGGAATCTTCCTACGGATGTATGAGTTGCTATGTACCTTAATTAACTTGGTCATTTGCATGGGGCCAATCATGGGATAAATGAGAGTGAATGAAATATCAGGCTATTAAACTAATTCACGTCTCAGACAAACAAGCTACCTAGACCACCAACTAAATTGTCACTGTCAGCCCCAAAATCTAATAATAGCGAATTGGCTGTTTAGGAAATACAGCCTTCCCACAACAAATCTAGTCACATTTGTTGCCCACAGAAACTTTAGAGATTTGACTAAAATAGTCAAATGTCTGAATAAAAAGTAAGTCTACACTAAAGATTTATTTCTTCTATTAAGTTCTTGTGATTTTCTCTTTCTGCATGAACGGACTCACGGGACAAATCCTCATCCATTTGCAGGTACATTTTCTCCATATCTTTTAAGAGATTTTGTCTCTCAAGCATAGTAGTTTATTTTAAAAGTACATGAGAGAAAAATCTGGCCAAAAATTCGGCTAGCAAAATAATCCTAACAGTTCCCTAGTCATCAGGAATACCATGGCCTTCGTTGTTCATCCAGAGATCTTTTGCTTCTTTTATTTCCATCTGGAAAATAAAAAAGCAATAAAAAACACAGATGGTTCTTCCATACAGTCAAACAGTCAAGATGATGATTTGCCCACTGAAAAATATTTTTAAAATGATAACTTTCCTCAGGAGTCATAAGTACCATCTGAGCTATCAGAATAGATTCTACAAATTCCATTCTCTACGGCTGTGAGAGAGATTTGCTGTAATATTTTTTCAAGAGTTCTCATCAGCCTTTGTGGAACTCTGTTTTTTCTGTACTAGTATTTTTTTTTAATTGAGGCTTATAGCTAAGAATTACAGAAGCATGTACAATATCAGCCACTTCTTTATTTAACAACCAAACTTAAAAACGTAATGAATCGTCAACTTACTGATGACCCACTTACCTGACTGGTTCTATTACTGTCCTCTCATGAGGTCTCTAGCAAGTTTCAGCTGTTGGGCCTTCAGCTTCTATGGTGGAATTCTACAATTCACTCACTCTGGGACCAGGATGTGAATTGCAGTACCAACCATGACTAATTCTACTGATCCAACTGGGATTGGATCCTACAAGTTTTCCTCCAAGGGCCTATGACATAAGTTGGTTGATTTAAAGTGTCTCCAAAACAGCTTCTTCAAAACACAGCAAGATTTATTCA